GTAAGGTACGTCGACTTCAGCTACGTTATTCACGTAGCTGAAGTTGCGTACCTTACTTCGATTTGGGGGTTTAGTGTAGACCAAGCCTTAGATTATTCTGTTATTTTCTTCTAGTTTTATCATGGTAAAAATATTTACCATGTGCTGATTTCCTAAAAAAAAATTCAAAATGCTTCTTCTGGCAAAATTATCATTAAGATAATACAATGTGCTGAACTATAATGTTTAAGAAGTACTTTTATTTTTATTTTTAAGGAACTTGAAACTGGTGTGGTAGACCTGCTTATTCCTTCCCCAAATGCTACCGCTGAAGTAGGCTACAATAGGGATAGGTAAGTTGGACAGCATTTCATCTTATTACAGGATATTAGCTGACAAAATGGAAGAAAAAACTTCCTGTAACAGCTGTTTTGACAAATGTTGAGGCTTCTTGATTGCTCCATCCTGGGCACTCTTTTTTTTCTCACCCTTGTTATGTAGGGGTTATTTCAAGGTGAGGGACGGGGCAAGGCCAGAGCATGTTGCGCCTGCAGGTAATGGTTCCCAAGGGGTAGCTCTAGCAGCTAGGTTTGCTGGAGCATAAATTAAAGCAACACTGAAGGTGCTCTAGCTCAGTTATTCTCAACCAGGGGTCCAGGTTTCGGGGTCCTCGAAGCAGGGCCAGCGTTAGACTCGCATGGGACTGAAGCCTGGGTCCCTGAGCCCTACCACTCTGGCGCTGAAGCCAAAGCCTGAGCAACTTAGCTTTTCAGGAGCCCCTGTGGCATGGGGCCACAGGCAGTTGCCCTGCTTGCTACCCCCTAACACCAGCCCTGGCTTTTATATGCAGAAACCAGTTGTTGTGGCACAGGTGGGCCGTGGAGTTCTTATATTATGCAGGGGGGCCTCAGAAAGAAAAAGGCTGAGCATCCCTGATCTAGCTTGTGGCTGGAGCCAGTTTGGCTCTGGCAACTTTCTGGATTTGGGAAGAGGGCAGAAAGAGAACATCAATCTACCTATTCTTCCCTTCTCCAGATTTGCTGAATGCTGCTATGGTAAACTTGGGGATCTTGCCCTACATATAGCTGTCTTTTAACTTGTAGCCATATGAAGAAGTGAGACGTTGATTTTATTGAAGCCTTTACATTGTTTCTGTTTTCTTTTAGGTTTCTTTTTAACTCTTCAGCCTGTTTAGATGAACATCTGATGCAGTTTAAGTTCTTAGGCATTCTGATGGGCGTGGCGATTCGTACCAAGAAGCCTTTAGATCTTCATTTGGCCCCAATGGTTTGGAAGCAACTTTGTTGTATCCCACTTACTTTGGAAGATTTAGAGGAGGTGGACTTGCTATATGTGCAGACCCTCAACAGCATTCTTCACATTGAAGACAGTGGGATTACTGAAGAGAATTTCCATGAGGTAAGCTATGGAAATATGCTTCCTCCCTTCTCCCCCACAAATCTTCTGAATCCAGTTGTTTTTATAGACTGATCTTAATTACAATGCACTAATTTAAAAAAAAATTGAGGTGGCATTTATACTTTAAGGTAACAGACACTTCATAACTGCCTCAGATGGATATAATCTGATATTCATAGTTATTGCTAAGTGACTGATGGTAATTTTTAATTCAGTACTTTACCCAAATATCTTATCCTGCACAATACTTTTTCTTTTCTGTTAATAGATGATTCCTCTAGATTCCTTTGTCGGACAAAGTGCTGATGGTAAAATGGTTCCCATAATTCCTGGTGGGAACAGTATCCCACTTACCTTTTCAAACAGGAAAGAATATGTGGAGAGGGCAATTGAGTACAGACTTCATGAAATTGACCGTCAGGTGAGAATCTCACTGCACTCTACCTATTTTGTTAACTGGATGGTGACCATCACAATATGCCAAAAATAACAAAGATTTTGGTTTACACATTTATTGGATTTTTCCTCTCTGTTTTTTCAAATAATTTGCAAGTCATTTTTAAATTAAATCTGATTCACATCTCAGCCGTTATCCAGCTGTCTAGAATGTCAAGAAAGACCACAAGAGTACTGAAAAACTGAGGACTTGCTTTATATTCATCAGAATTGCCCCATTGAGATCATTAAATTGACTGGGAAACAAAATGGGGATCACACAGAAAGCTGAGCACCTTTAACCCTGCATTTACAGCAGCATATAATCTGGCACATGTCATTGGGAAGCAATAATATTTGTTTAACTTATTAATGGATGGTGGATATATTTTACTTAATATTTATCTTACCTGCTTTTGAATAGTAACTGTAAACACTTTTTAATAAGTGGATTGAAAAAGTATGTAGTAATCTATGTAAATACTTTTGTATCATCTGCTGAAATGCTATTTTGTCACTTATACAGTAGCATTATGTAAATCAAATGGGAGCCTTGTATCTTAATACAGCAACATTACACTAGGGAACTAATTTTCCTCTTTCTCCAAAGATAGATGCACACAAGGTCACATGGCTGTTCCACTTTAGGGCAGTAGCCCTCTCAGTACTGACCCCAAGACCTTAAGTCTTTCAGATCAAAGATAGACCTTGTTTTTTAACATGCTTTCATTCCAGTCCTAACAGTATGCTGACAACAAAGTTTTTGGTTTAGCAGATGCTCATTTGTGTTGATAACTCTTCCACTTTTTTAGATGATTTTATTGAGGTCTTTTCTTAGCATGAAAGTACTATAAAATCATTTTGGTGAAAGATAATTCTCTGCAACAAGTCAACAATTTTTGAGGGGGAATGTTATCCTTTGAAGGGAGCCATATGCATTGCTACGTGGTTTTTTGTATTTAGGTGATGACTTAAACTGTACCCTTAGCCCAGGGGTCAGCAACCTTTCAGAAGTGGTGTGCCAAGTCTTCATTTATTCACTGTAATTTAAGGTTTCGCATGCCAGTAATACATTTTACATTTACAGGGGCCAGCGGACAGAACCCCAGACTGGCAGCGAGCTGAGCCGCTTAGCCTGCCGCCAGCCCGAGGTTCTGTCCGCTGGCCCCTGCCAGCTGGGGTCCCGGCTGCTGGCACCGCTCAGTCCGCTGGCGACCTGGGGTTCTGTCCATCCAGGTCAGCAGCGGGCTGAGCGGGGCTGGTGGCGGGACCCCGACTGGCAGGGGGACGAGTGGACAGAACCCCAGACCGGTACCCTAAGCCAGCAGCAGAGCCCCCGAGGCCAGCAGCAGAGTACTACTGAAAATCAGCTTGTGTGCCGCCTTTGGCATGCGTGCCATAGGTTGCTGACCCCTGTCTTAGCCTGTTCATCCACATGTGTATTCATTCTCAAAGTCTTCTCTTTGTATACGGATTGTGTGCTAAGGATCCGAAATAAGTGTAATGACTCTTTTAGTAACTATTCTTTTTGGGTTAAAGGTGGCTGCTGTGAGAGAAGGAATGTCTTGGATTGTTCCAGTTCCCTTGTTGTCTCTTCTGACGGCTAAGCAATTGGAACAGATGGTTTGTGGAATGCCAGAAATCTCAGTTGAGGTCCTGAAGAAAGTTGTGCGGTACAGAGAGGTTGATGAACAGCATCAGTTAGTTCAGTGGTTCTGGCACACCCTCGAAGAGTTTTCAAATGAGGAAAGAGTCCTTTTCATGAGGTTTGTGTCAGGAAGATCTCGATTGCCAGCAAACACTGCTGATATCTCTCAGCGATTCCAAATAATGAAGGTTGATAGGGTAAGATGCTATTTTCTTAATATGTTGTTCATTTCTGTCCACTTTAATCAATCCTTTGGCAAAAAGCGCTAAATTTCACTAACATTAAGCCCAGAGGCACTGTGCATTATGGAGTGGACTTCTGACTGCTAGAGCCATAGGATTTAATTATATAATAGTGCCTAACATTGCGTGAATTATATTGTAATTCACTCAGTACTTTGAACATATAAAGTGTAAATGTAATTATTAGATGGAGTTCAGGCTGGTGTCTAAACCTCACAGTGTGAATTATTCCACCATATTTAATCTACAGTAATTTCCTACTACAATACATTTTCTGATTTAGTATTTTAAAGATAAAAAAAAAACCAATCCTAATGAAGTCTTTTTCCGTCTCTATGACAGCGTTCTCAATATACTACATTATAGAATGACTTGGGAAAATGGAAATTAGAAATGAAGCTGTTGAAACTGTTGGCATGTCAATTGCCACCAAATATCACCCTCTTACCCATGTGGAAACCCACTAGATTCAGACACTACCCCAAGAAATACAGTTGCAGCTCACTGGCTTCTAATGCATTGGTTGAAAACTGACTGCAGCTATTTCTCAAATTTAACTGTGTTTAAAGCTACCTTATGGATATAGCTTCATGAAAATTAAGTATTCACGTTACAATTGGAACACTCTTCCGTATTATCATAATATGAAAAGAACCTTGAAAGGGATATTTTGAAAGCTAGATAGCAAGTAGAAACTGATAATATTTTGCTGCTCCTAATAATTAAGTTCTGTACTTTAAGAAGTTATTTTCTAAACAGAAATTAATCTTGTATTTAAAAGGTATTTTCTTTACTTTTTAATTTAGGATAATTGTAATATGTCTACCTGCATGCCTCCTGTAGTTTCAATTGGATACAAAATTTTTACTGCTTGGTCTAAATTATTATTTAATATATTGCAGTAGACAAACACCTGGAAGTTCCACTCTTAAAATAGATGCATGTCATTGGTGGTTGAAATCATTTATTGGGTGGACGGTAGTGGTGGTGTTTTAATTATTTTGAGCTGAAAATTTTTATAAAAATGTAAGATGGTACTAGTCTTGTCTTTTTGTTAAGAGGAATTCTTTACTGCTTGTTGGCTTGATTAATGAGACATTATTGTGGATGAGAGGGGGGTGCTCTTTTTTAAAGTTACTTTTTGGGCAGGGAAAAATACTGAATTTGCTACACCTTTTAATTTCCTTTGCAGTTTTAACCATGTCCTACTTTTTGTCTGTTTCCACAGCCTTATGACAGCTTGCCTACCTCACAGACTTGTTTCTTTCAACTGAGGCTTCCACCGTACTCCAGTCAACTAATCATGGCAGAGCGTTTGCGGTATGCAATCAATAATTGCAGGTCTATAGATATGGACAATTACATGCTCTCGCGCAATGTGGACAATGCAGAGGGTTCGGACACAGATTATTAACTTTCTGTGAACAAAATCATCTTCCTTTTATTACAAATAGTGCCCTAAGTCCAATTCAATGTTGACACAATTTTATGGTAACCATTGATGTTTTAGGAGCATAAACAGACATTAATAAGCAGTGGCCACATTTTAGTTACTCTAAATGTAACAACAAATTAGATGTTTTTATTTTTTGGTGATTGTTTAAAAAAAAAAGGGCAAAAACCCCCCCAAAAGTGCAGTCAGTAAGTTTTTTCCATATTTTGGTCACTTTTGATAATTTTGCATGGAGCCATTTTGGTGCATTTTTTGTTGGGAATGGTACATTTGTAAGCCCTCCCAGTGAACATGAAGAGTTGTACATTGTGTATAATTGTTCATTAGCAAGGACAGTTTTACATGAATAGTCCTATATTTATTTTGTTTTAATTTGAATTGCCTGTGCAGGGTTCCTTATGCGGAGAAAATAAAGCAAATACAAGAATGAATGGGGGTTTTGTGTGTGTGTTTTCAACTGTTTACAGGATTTATTCCGCATTTATAAATTTAGACTTTTAAACTTCTCAGTTAGCAAATCTGTTAGATTGTTTGAAACAGTGTCAGATAACTTATTTGCAGATGAACAGCCATTGTATATATGGTTACTATGCATTGCACGTTGAACAGTATACCAGCATTTTAATAACATTGCAGCATTGACTTACATCTTGTCCATACACAGTTTTGTCAACAAAAGTCAGCTTTTGTCGACAAAAGACTGGAGGTGTACACACTGAAGTGCTCCTCCGTCCGATACAACTCCCCTGCTATACTGACATAATAAAACCACCTCCACAAGTGGCATAGAGCCTTTTGTGACATAGTTAGAGTGACATAGCGTCAGTGTAGACACCTCACTTGGTTATGTTGCCCTAATTGGCTTCCAGCAGGTGTCCCATGATGCTTATCATGACTGCTCTGGTCAGCAGTTTGAACTCTGCTGCCCTGAAGGTACACAGGTATGCACCCCTCTCC